ATTTTTGGCTGTTTATTAACAAAGCGGCCTGTCACCGAACGAGCGCCTGGCCAGCCAGAGAGCTAACGGAACGTGACGTCTGCTGACGGGATCAATCAGGGACCTGGGCGCCAGCTTTAACTGTGACTATCTCCGCTCAAATATCCGGGCCTTTTTTTATCCTTCCTGTAAGTTATGGTTGTTTGTGTGTTCCGAATTGAGTCTCCGGTAATTGCTTGAGAATTTATAATCCGTGTATTCTAAAATGTGGTTATGCCTGAAGATTTGTCTTGGAATTGTAGCGGTCTGTAGAGACGGAAAGGACTTCTCTTGTTTTCAGCTATCTATCGTACTTTTAGTACTTATATTGATTTCACCACAATTAACAAACAAACAACCCCCCACCCCCTTTTCCTCCATACAATCAGGCATTTTGAAAAGGGTCAAATTTATAAGAAGAGTTTTAGTTTTTAAAAAAAAAGGTTATGTGGTAAAAATTGTTAGCCTTCATCAACTAAGAACAACAAGCACATAGTCATACATTTTGGGTGTGTTGGAGACTGAGACATTTTTGTTCCACTACTACGGCTTGTTTTATTTTAAAATTGGCATTGCACATCTGTAATTTTATCCCTTAACTCCTGTCCTCGAAGTACCTTGTGTGATTGACTGACTATTCTTTGTGTGAACCAAACATGTAATGTGTAATGTAATTTTACTTCCTTTTAATTGTAGCATGCAGACAGCTGATGTTTTTGTTTCAAATTTTTATATATTTTCCTCCTGTTCAATACTTTTGAGATTTTATAAGTTATATTTGGAATTACTGCCATGTCTTTGATTTTTGCTGCATTTTTTCTAGAGCTGAAAAAGCTAATCTAATTAGTTGAAGTTTCTCTTTATTCCTCCACTGTGAGTATCCACTTGGTGGCAGAGCCATATTTAGGATGAATGATGCCCCTGTGCAGTCATTTTTTGGCTCTTCTTTAAACTATGGCTGGTTAGTCAGAGTTCAGTCCCTTGGCTGCAGTGCAATTACGGAGTGGGAAAAGAGGGAACGAAACAAATGACATAATTACTGTGTGTTGGCGATAGACAGCGTGCAGTGCCCTGCTGTCATCATACTGCTAGGGTTACGGTTTGGTTTAGGGTTAGGGGTATGGTTAGGGTTAGGCGCTACCGACATAGGACGGTTGCTTGAGGCACATACCTGCATGTTCCTTATAACTCTATGCTCAGCTAGCCACCGCAACTACGCAAGCTTATCGCTCATTAAGGCATACAGATCCGGAGGTGTCACATCTACGGCCACTAAGTCTTGCGTCGCAAAAACGCGGTCGCTAATGTGAGTCGCAGCGCGTGGTCTAGCTGTAGCAGTCATGTCTTCGGCACTTTGTTCGTGCCTTCTCCACTCCGTAAATGCACTGTAGCCAGGGGACTGAACTCCGACTAACCGGTCGTAGTTTAAAGGAGAACCCATTTTTTTAATGCCTAATTTGATTTCTCTTGGCTAAACTTCAGCATTGATATTTGTTTACAGACTACCAGAAATAAGTTGTAGAATTATTTACTTGAGATTTGAATTGTATTCATTATTTAAGCTTAAATGAAGTCACAACCATCATCATCATCATCAGGTGCCTTGCCATTTGGTGTGGGCGATCATGCCTCTCCATAATCTACGATCTCCTGCTGCATGTATCAGTTCATGTGCCGACACACCTCCATGCCATGCAACAAGACTGTCAAGCATCTTCTCTCGTTGTCGTCCTCTATCTCTCCTTCCACATATCTTTCCATTGGTCACAACATGTTCTATTTTCCCTCTTCTCATAACATGGCCGAAAAATGATGTCTGTCTCCTTCTGATGTCTGTGATAAGTTGTCTTCGGGCTCCCGCCTCTTTCAAAACCTCTTGGTTGCTCTTTTTGGCTGTCCAAGGTATTCTAAGCATTCTTCTGTAAAACCACATCTCCGAGGCCTCCAGAAATTCGTTGGCCTGCCTACCGATTGTGAAGTCACAACAGCTAGAACAAATGTGCAAGGTGAGGTCCTAACGGAGTGGTGGTGCTCAGTGCAAGACTACTTTCATAATGTTAAAATCAGTAAAGATATCTATATTTTTTTTAAACTACTAGCTATATATCACTGCTCTTAGATATTTGAAACCCTGTGCAGCTGCACATGTTGCACATTATAAGGCTATTTATACGATGGTCTCCCCATTTGCACACCACCGGTTGTAGGTCAACTTCATTGATGATTTTTGTGTGCACTCTGTTTTACAGCTCTCTCATATTTATATGCAGACTGCTGGTTCCTTTCCTCTCAGGCAGACACAATCAGATTTTGAAGGAAACCGCTAATTAATGGACTGGTACATTTTGTGTGTTTGAAGCAGTATGTCTATTCTCCCACCCAGAGTGGGACCCTGGAACCCACACGGGAAGAAAGAGGACAAATTTTACTAGTAACCGAAATGCGCATCATCTGATGCATTATGTCAGTCAGAAAACAATGAAATGAAGAAAATTATATAGTGCTCCCCGTGTGGGTTCTAGGGCCTTATTAACTCTTTGAGTCCTAGGGAACGCATCATACGTTCATAAGTTCTTGCCTAGAAGCCAATGAACGCATGATGTGTTGATTTTAGTCTCTTTTTACTACCCATTGGGCCTCAAATGCTAAACCCCCTGGGACTCAAAGAGTTAAAGGGAAAACAAGAATAGACCCACTGCCTACCCAAAAGTATGTTGTAAGAGTTGAGTAATTGGGATCTTCCTTCAAAGTCGGAGTGCATCTGCCTGAGAGGCAAGGAACCAACTGTCTGCACACAAATGAGTCAGATCTGTTAAACCCATGCACATGCAACACTCAGGCTCTGAAGCAGGACTGTAGTTGTCACATATCAATTGTGTCGCGTGCCTGATTTAAGGATTTCTCCTTAAGAACCAACAGCACTCGGAAATAAATAATGTAAGGCGTCGGCTCGTATTGGTCTAAGGGATATCCCGTGGCCAATATACGCTCAACTCATTTCAGGAGTAGGGCAACTCAAGTTCTGGCACTACAGAATATCTAGTAATCCTAGGCACAACTTGGCTGGACACCCCCACTACTTATAAAAAGATAGCTCCCAGGCTAAGATAGTGTACTATCACAGCCATGTTAACACAGATTACACGTACTAATCACACAAACATAAAAGCTAGACAGTTAAAATAGTGAAAAAGGGACACCCAAGTCAGCCATGAAAATTTCTGAATGGATGTAATAATTGAAACACATGTATATATATATATATCAAGACAATCAAGATGGTTCCCAGTGACTGGATTTCGGGAACTAACGTCGAAGAGATGATGTTGAAACAGCCGAAGTAATGTCAGAGAGTTCAGTGTTAATCCCCGTGCCTATGGGTAGACCTGTAAATAGAGCATGTGGTATGTCATCTCAGATGTTACTTATCCAATTGGAAGGTCACTGCTCCCCTCAGTACTTGGTGATTTGAACAGGCTGACTCATTGGACTGCTTTTCCTCTGGTTGATCTGGTAAACACTGATATTCTTCATATATGAGAACAAAGGAATTGTACTGGAGCCCATAAAGCTTCCTTGGAGTGATGGCACAGGTGGCCTGCTTCAACTGTCTCTCAGCCACTGGAACTCACACACAAGCTCCTGTCATGTTGAAATTATGGTGACAATAGGTAGGATTTTGGGTAGGTTTGGTGATAGGGTTGGTATGGTGGATGGTAGTTGGCTGGACTGTGACTCGTTTGCCTGACTTCTAGGGAGATATCATCCTGTCAGGAAAGAACTCAGAATTAGTATTCATCTTAAGAGTCACACACCAAGCTCAATTTATTTCCCTCTACTCTTCTTAGTCACTCAGAGGATAACTCAAGAACAGGAGACAATTTCCACTTCATTTATCTTTGTCTGTAAGTCAGTACAAGAGATAGGAGATAAGGTACATAGTGGAGATAGATAGACACTATTACACATAGATCATCCTCTCTCCACCTTCCTATCCGCACCCGCAGACATACATTCTATCCCATTTTTACATGCATATTTTATACCTCCACAATCTACCCAGTGTTGATGTGCTAAAAATAACCTCTGATGTCAGAGCACCTAGCTGGCCGACGTGCGACCCAGTTGAATATGTCTGCTAATCGACACAAACTCTGTTGGCTGGTTAGAGAATAATTAACTTGATGGGTTTAATATATTTATAATGTTGTGGGTCATGTAGGGCACAAACTATTAGCCTGCGAAGGGAAAGGTTTGATTTCAGGGGCTTGAGTGTCTGGACACCAAGAACGCCCTAGTTCTGTGCGGTCACACAGCTGAATCTTTCCTCCCTGCAGCAGCGGCTAACTTAAAGAGACAATAATCATGGTACTCGTAAACTATAATCAACTTACCAAAGCTTAGGAATCCTTCAAAGATTAAATTGGTATTTTGAATGTGCCAAGATTTAATCAGAGAGATGAAAAAACGCCTAGACGTCTCAGAAGTCTGGCAAAGAATGACCCCGCCAGATTTTGCTTGGCGTCTCTAGAAAAGAAGTACTGTATTAGTGCACCAAGGAGTAAAAAGGCTTCAGGAATTTGGAATATTATTCCAGAAATTATATATCCCACAGTTGCATGTTTGAAAATGTAGACTTTTCAAAACAACTAGAGGGTATAGAAATATCTATTCCACCAGATAGAGGTATATATCAATATGAGGGAATATATACCCACCGGATGGGTATAAATTTGAAATGTGACCTGCCGCTAGGGGGTCGTCAACGTCACGACTAGTCCAAAGTGTAGGGTTTGGTTGTTCACTCCGTGACAGTAGTCCAGAAGTGGATGAACAACCAGAATTTTCGGCCGGAGTTTACAGCCAGTGAATGCGACGAAGAAGATTATATATTGCATATTTTCAGTCTTTTTTTTTCAGGGAAAGAAGGCTATTATTTTCTATTCATCAGGATCAATATTTACTTATAGAAATCAGTAGAAATGGCCTACGAAGACATTTCATACTCGGACAAGTACTTTGATGACAAATATGAATACAGGTAATACCTGGAACCATTGTTGTCATAATAAGCATTTCCCTGTCTTCATGTTTCTTGCATTATGGTTTCTCTAAAATATAACCATCTGATCTTTCTTTCTTTCTCTCTCCTCCCCCTTCCACCTACCTGTCTTCCACACACCCCTCCCAGCACACACATACATTTATATTTATAGAATCTTTATTAACCGTGTGCGCCCTGAAAGGGTTTTAATCTAATCACTTTGGCTGTAACACAGTTTTATAAACGCTTATAAATTGACCTGTCTGCTGTGACCTGTTCTTGAAAAGCATAGTAAAATTGCATAACTGTGCAGTGCAGGATATGAATATAGCTACTAAAAATAGCATTTAGGGGTTTCCTTTTTACCCCAGTGGCTTTTTTTAGAGCCAAACTGTCATAATTTCCCGTAAGCCTCAGTGATTGAGGTCAGGGCATGAGCCCCCTGATATATATTGATTTGCATGCCCAAGAGAATGGCGTTAACAAACAAACCTTGACAGTGTGGTAAAAGGTACATTAACCAAGTCACTGTCTTGTAACCTATCAGTAATGAGGATGTCAAGAGTGTTAAACACATGACATCATGGTGCAGACAAACATGGTGACTTCCTAATGACAGCATAAAGATAGCCACCACCACCTTTGACATGTATCAAAGAGGAGCAGCGTTCTATAATCCATTTTTTTAAATCACTGAAATGGTGAAATGTATAGAAGTTAATCAGTGAAGTGGTGAAACCCATAGAAGTTAATCAGTGAAGTGGTGAAACCTATAGAAGTTAATTAGTGAAGTGAAACCTATAGAAGTTAATCAGTGAAGTGGTGAAACCTATAGAGGTTAATCAGTGAAGTGGTGAAACCCATAGAAGTGAAGTGGTGAAACCTATAGAAGTTAATTAGTGAAGTGGTGAAACCTATAGAAGTGAATCAGTGAAGTGGTGAAACCTATAGAAGTTAATCGGTGAATGGACTAGTATGCTGTGCATGCCTGTCAATCCAGCAAGTATATGATGGAAGTAGGACATTTCGAAATGGTGCGACTTCTGTGACAGACTGTTGGTGACCGGCCTGGTACAAGGAGTCAACAACATTTTGAAACTTGCTACTCCACTTGTGGTGCTGACATTTAATGAGATCTGCATGGACCTCCCAAAAATATTCTACAGGGCTCTGCTGAGGGGAAAAGGCAGACTAAGAACTTGTATAAAGAATTTGTCTGACTGGACAGGTTTGATGTATGCAAATAGCAAGTCCCTTGCATGTAACGTGATCCACATATGTAGGTTGGGGGGAGTGGAGGGGGGGGGGGTGAGATCAGGCAGCACTGATAAGCTGTCAGCAACAGCTGATGACCCAATGACACACAGTGTTATGGGACTGTGATGATAATCTCTAGACAGTAGAACCAAAGCCTGGCTTTGTCAGATGTGTGCAAACAATGGAAAGGCCTGGGGAAAAGTTGAGCCAATAAATAATTCTGCTGTAATTGGAAATTATCAGTTACTGTATGTTTTATGCAAGCCCATGCTGGCTATTGTGGTTTCAATCACTGTCTTCCCTTTATGGGCTCCAGGGACCCCATTGTGGGGGAAATTAAGAATAGACTCACTGTCTCCCCAGCAAGCATGTTGTGAAAGTCGACTTACTGGGAGCTTCCTTGGAAGTTGGAATACTTCTGCCTGTGAGGCGAGAAACCAACAGTCTGTATGCAATTAAGTCAGATCTGTAAAATGGATGTGCATGCAACACTGGGCTTCTGGAACAAGACTAAAGTCCAGAGGTGGGCAAACAACCAGAACTTTCTGTCTGAATTTACAGCCATTGAACGCGAAGAAGAAGAAGAAGAAGAAGAACCAACACAAGCTGGCCATTGGGGATTGAGTTACTATCTGTTTAACAGAAACTGGCCATTGTGGATTCCATTACTGTCTGTTTTGTTTTCAGGTCTTCTCTTCATTCCACATCCCTGCCTACTTTATTTATAAAGTACACTTAAAATAAAAGATTTAAGTTCATAATCTATACTTCTACAATCTGCCTCAGTTAAAATCTTAGTGTATTCAATATTCAATAAATAAAAGTAATTGCTGGCTATAGCATAATCAATAACACAAAAACTAACCTTTGATAAAGTACTTGGGTAAGATGTTATTATTTAATAGCCTGTATTTAAATTTCCTTTCTTCTTTTTGTTTGTCTGAGTGACGTAAATGCCTTGTGCCTGTTTACAGCAGAGCTGCGATATTTGCGCCTTCGGCTGACACATCAGACTTCGTCCAGCATGTTGTGGCCTAATTTGTGCAGCCTACTCTTTGTCCCCTTATCTACAGGTGTTGCCCTTGGAGACCCCATCCACTGCATCTGCGTGTAGACTGGTCAGCCCTCAAGGGAAGGCAGGGGCAGATCATGGGCATTCTCTGCCATCCAAGGAGGCTTCCATAAATCAAGCGCTGACACATGATGCTCTGGTCCTGGGTACACTCAAGGGAACGTCACACCCTGCACATGACTGCTTAATCTCACATCCGTATATTGAGCTTTTCAGTCGTCACGATCTGTGCCCTACACAGTTTTCTTCTGCATGTTAGTCACTTTTAACATTGTTTCATCTTGGTACTTAGCGAGACTGTATGGCAAAAGCATGCATCCAGCATGGCTCCCCCTTATAGGTCCGACACTCTAGCGAGTAGGCCCGATGGTAATGGGCATGTGAACCTTTCTTCCAATTAATAGGATTGATTTTGCTCGGACATTCGGGGCTGTTTGTGTGCCATAGGGCATGAATCTGACCAATATTTATGCCAAACTAGCACACTGACAGCGGCAGACTGTCATGGTGTACCTCAGTGCTGTGACAACATTGAGTAATGGCAAAGGATGTACAAAGACAGTGCTGTTCCGCAAGATACTGCTCGCCTAAGCTCCAAGGAAATCTCTTGTTATAGGGCTTAATCTCAGCAATGTTCTTCCCACTTGACAGACGTTTTAATCGAGGGTTGTCATTTAATAGAAATGTTTGGCTAGCAGACCACCCATGTTCCAAATGAGCTTTGATGGAGGTTTTCACCCATGCATTGGGAGTGGGCTGATATGAGCCAGACTTGCCACTACATCACCAACTCCGAGATCCCTTGCCAACTTGGTTCAGGTCACAAAGGTGAGCCCTTATCCGTGGCGCATGACGTAAACATGTGGCAGGAGTCTTGTGTGAGGATCGGTAAAACCACCCCAGAGCCAGCTGATGCCTAAGGTGAGGTACGGAGTCACTCCATATACACATCACAACAGCTTTAACTTTCTCTCATGCATGTGACCAATATCACTGCGTCACATATGTAAATTTGACATATAGATGGAGTTGGCAGAAAAGACAGCTGTTGTGTTGGGGGGGGGGGGGGGAAGGAATTATTAATCTGGGGAGCTCCACCCTGTGGGTTATAGACCCACTGCCTCCCCAACAGGCATGTCGTAGGAGTCAACTAATTGGGAGGTTCCTTCGAAGTTGGAATGCCTCTGCCCGAGCAGCAAGGCAACCAGCTCCACACAAATAAGCCAGTACAACTTGTACATGCACAATGCAGTTCCTCACACGAAGCCCAAGTCTCAACGGATGAACAACCAGGACTCTCCCCAGAGCATACATTCAGTGAACAAAGAAGAAGAACAACAAGCTGAAAGGTGTCAAGGACAGACATATATTAATTTCACATTTCTTTCAGAAGTATTTGCTATTAACTGTTGCATTTGTTGTATCTGTAGACATGTGATCCTGCCGTCCAAAATTGCAAAACAGGTGCCCAAGAACCACCTGATGACAGAAACTGAGTGGAGGAACCTGGGTGTTCAGCAGTCACCTGGCTGGATTCACTACATGGTTCATGCACCTGGTAGGTTGTGGGGATCATTGTCCTGGCCAAATGACATGGCTGTTCAACTCTCTTGGAAAAGATCTTGGTCCTTAATGTTCTGGATCTCCTTCTTCTTAGCATTCACTAGCTGTAGCCTCTGGCAGAAAGTTCTGGACTTTGATCTTGTTCCAGATCTGGCTTATTTGTTTGCAGACTGTTGGTTCCTCACTTCTTAAGCAGATGCACTCTGATGGAAACATCTCGAATTAGTCATGTTTTACTACATGCTTATTGAGGGGGGCGGGGGGGGGAGTTAGTCTTTTCTTTTTCCACCAGAGCCTACATGTGTAGAATGTTGGGGATTAATTCTGATGATCATGTTCTTCCATGCCGCTTTCTGAGACTAATGAGCATAATTTCTTCTTAGTCTGCCCTGATGCTTCCACCAGGGATCTTTCCCTGTCGTGAAGATGTTCTTAGTTTTTTGTGGTTCCCTGTGTGGGTTGGTTCCACGGCCCCTGGGATGGGAGGGTCAACCAACTGCCTGCTTAACAAGTATGTTGTCAAAGGTGACTATTTAAGGGTTTGCTGAAATGGGATGTGCTGGGCAGATATCGCAGCCTAGATGTAAACCACCTAATAGGCCAACTACTATTTTGAGGGTAAACCCACAAGAAGAAGTTATTGTAACAATTTTTTTTTTAAACTCTGCAACTTGACTTGAAGGGTAGCGCAGGCTTTGTATTCCTGCAGTATGAAGACTTGTCTGACAAGTTTATCTGTGTTCTTAGTTATTTCCTAATAGCTTTGTTAATCTTCTGCTGCACTGCATCTTCTGCACTCGTGCTGACTTGGCAAATTATTATTTTAGAAAGGCCAGTATATCTTGTTACATGTCCATAAAAGCACATGTTCTGTCTTGTCACTGTTTAAAGAAATGCAGTTTCCAGTGTGTTAAGTGGTGAAACTGCACAGTTGTCTGTTTGTAGGTCAAGAAAAGAAAGGACCTTTTCGCTCCTTCGGCGCTTCCGCAGATACTGTTGGACATATATTTTATTAATTTATAGACAAATCGGCATTCGATGACTGATGTAGTGAGTATCCCTGTCAGATTCTCAGGACAAATTCCTGGTACCCATTTTAGGCTGAGTCTACCTGAGAGGTGAGTTGTGGAAAAGGGGGGGGGGGGGGGGATAAATCTCCATGAGGATTTGAACCTTAGTCCTTTGAGTAAGCATCTTGCGACAGTGCTGCCACAATTCTTTTGTATGACTTGATTAAAAATAGTTTCTAGTGCTGGGGTGTGTCTTTGATGATACTATTTGTAAAAATGTGTGCATTGATTTAATGTGATTAAAAATGTTATAAGATGTATCTTACAGTTGCATACAAACATATGTATACACACTAATAGAGTGTAAAATGGGTGGGCGGAAAAAAAATTGTTTTCTAAGAATACTAATACATGATGTCTTGAAAATATAACAATATTTGTCAACAGAGCGACATGTTCTTCTTTTCCGACGCCCTTTGCCACAGCCAGCAAATCAAGGCGATATTGGTCAGCAAGAATCTGTTGCGGTAGGGTAGACCAGTCGCAGCTTGCAGTTCATCGACAGTTGTGTTCATTTGTGTGTGTGCTAACACCAGGGATGTGTTTCAGCTGCAGTGTGTTTTACTGTAACAATCTCCTAGAAATTATAAGATTATACAAACAATGACTGACATGTAATGTGTTCCCATGAAAAAACAAACCTTGATTAATCCACTAACGACTGATGATGTTGCTTAACTTTATCACAACATTTTGGTTAGACATTTCCAGCTATGCAAATTAATGTTTGTTAATTTTGCATTACGTTACACATTTTTTCAGACTTTGTTTTTCCTAAAATTGTGAAATATTGCTTAGCAAATTTCTTTGCTATGATTTGTATACGTTTTTAAAAATCAGTTTTGTCACAGCATAAAATAATTGTTTTTGATTTAAGTTCTGATTTATTTTGCATTAATCTGTTAGTAATCAGATGACATTCTAAATGAATGTATTATTTCACATATTTTGACCTCTCAATTTTTTTGCTTTTAATCTTTAGATTGTAACATTGATAACACTACAGAAAAGTAGCATTTGTTGTCAAGAAATTCAGTTGTCAACATATTAAATATATTGTCAGTCATGATATTGGGGTATACAAGGTCCGACAATTAAGTAATGAAACTAATTCTATAAATATTAAATTAATCGACAGTTGAAGATATAACCTGTATTTTAGTCAAAGTAAGCCTCTTGTACATTGATACAGTGAGTGGCACGATATAAAAAACACTGGAATGGCCTCTGTAGTTATTCTATTGTAACCATTTCAAGTTATCATTGAAAGGAGGCTTCTTTGACGATATTGATGACATCCAAATGGCCGCAACATCGACTTTAAGGACCATAGAAACAGAAGAACTACAGAGGTCGTTCAAGTGTTTGTTAGATCAGGCCACTCGCTGTATCAATGCACAAGGGGCTTACTTTGAATAAAACTCAGATTATATCTTCAACTATTGATTATTTTAATTTTTATTGAATTAGTCTCATTACTTAATTGTTGGAGCTTGTATATATCTTAGAGTAGTCAAAGTTTGTTGACTGTTTTGCATTTAATGTTTTTACATATATGTTGTAGTGTGGGCATTTTTTTTTTTACTAGTGTATTTTTTAAATTTCAAATATTGTTAACTAAAGAACAGTGGATAGTGTTTCTTTGTTTAAAACTGCTATTGTCTCAAATTACAGCAAGGGAGAAGTTAATTTATCTGATCTCCTTCATTGTCCCATGAACACAAAGTTTAATGCTACAGTGTATTTAGTTCTTTGTTGTCTCATGAATAAAAAGTTGAGTGTTACATTGTGTTTAGTTCTTCATTGTCTCATGAACACAAGGTTGTTACATTGTGTTTAGTTCTTCATTGTCTCATGAACACAAGGTTGTTACATTGTGTTTAGTTCTTCATTGTCTCATGAACACAAAGTTTAATGCTACAGTGTATTTAGTTCTTTGTTGTCTCATGAATAAAAGGTTGAGTTTTACATTGTGTTTAGTTCTTCATTGTCTCATGAACACAAGGTTGAATGCTACATTGTGTTTAGTTCTTCATTGTCTCATGAACACAAGGTTGTTACATTGTGTTTAGTTCTTCATTGTCTCATGAACACAAGGTTTAATGCTACAGTGTATTTAGTTCTTTGTTGTCTCATGAATAAAAGGTTGAGTTTTACATTGTGTTTAGTTCTTCATTGTCTCATGAACACAAGGTTGAATGCTACATTGTGTTTAGTTCTTCATTGTCTCATGAACACAAGGTTGAATGCTACATTGTGTTTAGTTCTTCATTGTCTCATGAACACAAGGTTGAATGCTACATTGTGTTTAGTTCTTCATTGTCTCATGAACACAAGGTTGAATGCTACATTGTGTTTAGTTCTTCATTGTCTCATGAACACAAGGTTGAATGCTACATTGTGTTTAGTTCTTCATTGTCTCATGAACACAAGGTTGAATGCTACATTGTGTTTAGTTCTTCATTGTCTCATGAACACAAGGTTGAATGCTACATTGTGTTTAGTTCTTCATTGTCTCATGAACACAAGGTTGAATGCTACATTGTGTTTAGTTCTTCATTGACTCGTGAACACAAATTTGAATGTTTACTGTGTTTCGTTCTTCATTGTCCTATTAACAAAAAAAGTTAAATGTTTCACTGTTTTGTTCTTCATTGGACCATGAACACAAGAGTTGAATGTTGAGCGTTCTTCATTGTCTCATGAACAAAGGTTTGAATGTTTACTATGTTTTGTTCTTCATTGTCTCATGAACAAAGGTTTGAATGTTTACTATGTTATGTTCTTCATTGTCTCATGAACAAAGGTTTGAATGTTTACTGTTTTGTTCTTCATTGTCTCTTGAACACAATGTTGAATGTTTACTGTGTTTCATTCTTCATTGTCCTAGCCTTACAGTGGAAACTGTGGCTGTAAAAAGGGCTTTAGCATAGCTTGGTACTCAAAAGTTCACAAACGTATGCTTTCTTAGTGACTCGATGAATATGCTTAAAAAAATCCAAGCTGGATTAATCAGGCAAGAATGGATTGAAACACTAAGCACTTCACAAAAATCTGCCCTAACCTTCATCTTTGTGCCAGGTCATGCGGGTGTTTAAGGAAATGAGCGTGCAGACTATCTTGCTGACACTGCAATTGCTATGGCTGGCCCAGTACTGGACAGAAGTGATGTTATCAATGCCATGTGATGCACTTACCGAATCGAGAAGCATGCCAAAGGACATGACTCCATATCCTTGTCTAGACTGATGGACATGGGGAGGCTGCCTGGAGCTGCAAGAAATGAACATTTCACTAAGAGGACAAGATGTTTCATTAACCAACACAGAACAGGCGTCATCAGTCGTTTTACACTTGTGGAGCTTTTGATGAGGAGATTGAAGCACCTATGGATCTGTCCGGAGTGCTGCGATGATAATCCTTTTTAATCTCTAATCACTAATTCTTCATTGTCCCATGAACACATGGTTGAATGTTTACTGTTTCATTTTTCATTGGCTCATGAACAGAAGTTTGAATGTTTACTGTTTTATTCTTCATTGTCTCATGTACACAAGGTTTAATGTTTACTGTGTTTCATTCTTCATTGTCAAATAAACACAATGTTGAATGTCACATTTTGTTTACTTCTTAATTTTCTCATTAACACAAAGTTGGATGTTAAATTGTGTATACTTCTTCATTGTCCCATGAAAAAGTTGAACAAGGTTGAATGTTACAGTTTCATTTTTCTTTGTCTGATTTGAACAACATGCTAAAATTGTTTGTTCAGCTTTTCATTGTATCATGAAAAAACACAAGGTTGAATGCTGTATTGTTTGTTGAGTTCTTCGTTATCTCATGAATGCAGGGTTGTGTTTAGTCCTTCATTGTAAGTTCAGCTCTTCACTGTATCATGAACAAACACAAGATTGAATGTTAAATTGTTAAGTTCTTCATTACTCATGAATCTAAGTTGAATGTTGTGTTTAGTTCTTTATTGTCTTATGAACACAAGTTGTATTTAGTCCTTCATTGTAAGTTCAGCTCTTCATTGTCAAATATCTGTTGGGGGGAGAGGGGGTGTGAAAGACCCCATAATAAATATCCATGTAAAGATTGATGATGCGATGTTGTGTACATATTCATACCAAAGACTATGAGGAAATAGAACAACTAAACCTGGAAATTCGTTTTCTTTTGGCAGATTCTGTTGTCGTATAACGGGATGTTCAGTACAGAAATGTAATATCTGTATTTTGGAGAGATCATTTAGAACAGCAGTTCTCAATCTATAAGTCAAAACCCTTTTTTGGGTTGAACAACCCATTCATAATGGTTACCAAAGATTCGCAAAGCACTTATTCATTGAAGTTATGAAGTAGCGACGAAAATAATGTATGGTTCGTGGTTACCACAACATAAGGAAATATTAAAAGGTTGCAGCATTAGGAAGGTTAACTACTGTTTTAGTGTCAGTCTGTTCTGTGTACAGCCTTACACAAAAAAAATTTAAGGCGGTTAGCACTTTGTGTTCCGGTTTTCAGCTAGGTTGAGATATCTGCAGATTTTGGCCAAAACCATCTTATTTCAGTGAGTTATAAATAGTTGTCTTACAATATGCTTGTTAGTGGATTTTATTCTGGAAACCCACACAGAGAGGTCCTCTGATCTTTTCTGAATGTTAGTAAATTATGCAATAGCACTAGGTAGCCACTGGTGATTTTGTAGCTGCTTTAGTGTTTTCCTAAAATGGCTGCTGCACTTTCTTCAGTAATAAACAACACACAGATATGGTGACAGTATTCAAGGGAGTTGATGGGACATCTGCAGGAAGAGGATTGAGTGGCCGAGTGGTTTGGATACCGGTCAGTCAAATAAGAGAACCTGGTTGTGATTTCTGGTAAAACAAAAGAGTTGAATATTGATCCACTCAGCTGTGGCTAAGAAGCTTAAAGAAAAGTTGAAGGAGAATGACACACACGCACAAGAAAATGTGCATGTTTTACCCGGAGCTTTTCTTGACAAAAACCACAACAACAGGACAGTATCCTAGCTAACAGTCCCCAGCACCGGGGTGGGTCACGTAAATTACTTTGAAATACGGGAAGACGAAAAGGTGATGAGGCACAAATCAAAAATGTGAAGGAGTAATAATAAAACACGAGTGTCAGTAGTGGTGGAAATGATAATATTAAATATTGAGAATGAAATCAAATCTTAACCTGTACACTGTACACCCTACAGAAAGGGGGAGGGGAGCGCAGAACTTGCGGGTCTAGGTACCCTGTGTCTTCTCCTAGAAAATGTGTAAAGAAGAGAAACATTATCTCTCAAAGTTAGTCAGTCAAACTTTGTTCTAAAAGATGAGTGCGCCACTTAATGTGGAAGTCAAGCTGTGCAGATGCATAATTTTTGGCAATATATTGTAAAGCAATCCATTTTCCCACTTGAATGTCTGGGGTTCAAATACCTCTTTTTTTTTTGGTCAAAATTT